TATAATAATAATGTTGGGTGTATAAAATAATGTTTTAGTTTATAATAAAATGTTGGAGTGTATAATAATAATGTTTGGGTGTATAATAATAATGTTGGAGTGTATAATAATAATGTTTGGTGGGTGTAATAATAATGTTGTGGTGTTATAATAATGTTGGTGTATAAATAATGTTTGTTTTATATTTGGTGTATATAATAATTTTTATGTATTAATAATTTTGTATTGTTGGTTTTTATTTATAAAGTGATGTATAATAATAATGTTGTTATTGGAGGTTAATAATAATGTTGGGTTATAATATAATTGTGGTGTATTAATATTGGAGGTATTAATTGTTGAGTAATAATAAGTTGGGGTATATAATGTTGTTTATAATAATGTTGGAGTGTATAATAATAATGTTATAATAATTAGCCTGAATCCGTGTGTTTTGTGTGTTAGAGTATCGGAGCATGTAGATATAGACCCTGTTCAGTGTTTGTTTGAGATTCTGTGTATTTTTATTCCTGAGTCCTGTATGTTAGATCCTCATCAGTAAAATGTTTGAAACGGTGGAACGCCGTGTTTGTCAGCGCTGATGAAGCGTCAGTAATGAAGCATCTCATGATGAATGAGTTGAATGGAGAACTCCGCCGTGACTCGCTCAAATCAAATAAAAATCCCAATTACGGAGCTGAAGCGCAGGTCGCGCGCTGGTTAGAGTCGTCCTCGCCTGCACGCGCTCCATCCGGTCTGAGATCCGGTGCTCCGGGGAACACTGGCCTCTATTATTATCATAACGAGGAAAATCTGCCTCATTTGGGAAATATCTGCGGTGCAGGATGCTGAGGGACGAGAGCCGCAGCCCGGAGTCGTGGATAATAGAGCATGCAGTCCCTCCAGGTAACACGAGCTCCACTTCACGGCCCGGTGACTCCTGCGCGCGCTCGTAACACTGTGGACATTAGTGCGCTTGGTGCCAGAACACATTTAGGAAATAAGCTGTGATCGAATCAGCCATGATCCGGAGAACATTCACAATATGCTGAACACGCAGCAGACGCGGGATGGTGAAGCATGCTGGGAAATAAACAACGCCGACTCACTTCCTGCAGCTCCAGGCCTGCTTCAGTTATTATTAGGGACGTGTGGTTCTGCACGTGACTCAGAGGAACGCTTGGAGCCCTGCTCAGACGGGATTAGGTTCCCATGTGAGGTGTGAGGAGTTCTGGGATTTCACTATCTGTGACGTCAGTCTTTTCTTCTTTTTTTTTTGACAGAAACATTACTGTGTATTTTGAGCAGGAGAAATATCTGCAGGAGATGTAAACTCCGACATGCGGACGGAGATCGTGTTCAGTCCTGTGGGAAAAGAAGGAAATGAGGTTTTTACCTGTTTCCTGTTTCCTGTTTCCTGTCGTCTCACACTGAATCCGAGTGTTTAAAACGCAGAACATTCCGATCTACGCGAGGTGTATGGGCGTGTCAGAGAAGACACGCTTCTAAGGGTTTTAGGGAGGTTCTCGAGGTCCGAGCACAGGTACACTACTGCATGTTAGGGTCATGTGACCTGCAGAGTATCAAACTCAGCCACGCCCCCTACAACAAGCGCAGAACGAGCAGTGTATTACTCTGAGGTGTGTGTGTGGTACACGTGAAGGTAGTAGATCAGAATTACTCCAGAAGTCCTTCTGCAGCGTGACTGAACACACACACGTGCAGAAATCGGATCCTGTCGGAATCAGAAAGGCCCAAAGCAGAACTTTTAAAACATCTTTAATCAAATATGACTGAAGATACAGGAAATGGTGAGGGACGGAGGAAATAAGAGGGAGGAGCTGGTAATCAGAGGGAGGGGCTGTGAGTAAGAGGGAGGGGCTATGAGTGAGAGGGAGGGGAGAAGACTCTACAAATGAATGATAATTAAAGAAATGAACAGAAGCTTCTCATCGGTACAACACGAGTGTTTTGTTTTTCTTTGTTTCTTGTCTTTTTCTTGAAAGACTTTTTGTAACTTCACCTTAATTTAATTGTTCTGAAAAAACAACAGAGCCGAAAACAAATTAGCAGTGTGAAAGAAAACATCAGACTAAACTCTTAGATTTGACAAGGTTAAAAAAAACAACAACAACATACAAACAAAATAAAGAAAAACAAAATCAATAAAATAAAATTCTGTCGGAGTGAAAACTGCAAGAAACAGCATGCTGGAGTCTCTCTCTCTGTCTCTGTCTCTCCCCCTCTCTCTCTCTTCCGTCTCTCTCTCTGTCTCTGTCTCTCCCCTCGCTCTCTCTCTCACCGTCTCTCTTTCGCTCCCCTCGCTCTCTCTGTGTCTCTCTCTCTCTGTCTCTGTCTCCCCTCGCTTCTCTCTCACCGCTCTCTCTCTCTCACCGTCTCTCTCCTCTCTCTCTGTCTCTGTCTCTCCCCTGTCTCTCTCTCTCTTGTCTCTCTCTCTCTCCATCTCTCTCTCTCTCTCCCTCTCCCTCTCTCACACTTTCTCTCTCTGCTCTCTCCCCCATCTCTCTCTCTCACCGTCTCTCTCCCTGTCTCTCTCTCCCCATCTCTCTCTCTCTCTCTCTCTCTCTCTCTCTCTCTCTCTCTCTCTCCTCTCTCTCTCTCTCTCTCTCTCTGTCTCTCTCCCCATCTTTCTTTCTCTCTCTCCTCTCTTTTCCTCTCTCTCCCCCTCTCTCTCTCTCTCTCTCTCTCTCTCTCTCACTCTCTCTCTCTCTCACTCTCTCTCTGTCTCTCTCCCCATCTTCTCTCTCTCTCCCTCTCTCTCCTCTCTCCTCCTCTCTCTCTCTCTCTCCCTCTCCCTCTCTCTCTTACTCTCTCTCTCACTCTCTCTCTCTCTCCGTCTCTCTCTCTCTCTCTCTGTGTGTGTGTGCGCATGTGCGAGTGCAGTAGGAGCGAGTGAAGCGTGTTGGTGAGAGCGTGCGTGAAAGACTGAGGTCCTTTTGACTTCCTCCTCTGTGTTAGAACTATAACAAAGTTAGACAGTACCGCATGCTTTAGGCCGCTCGCGGCTTTTGCCGTGTCTCGGCATGGCGTCTGACCCTGTTCAGGGACTCCCACACCTGTCCCGGTGTAATGGGTGTAACGGGTGTAACGGGTGTAACGGGTGTAACCGGTGTAACCGGTGTAACCGGTGTAACGGGTGCAGGTGTAACGGGTGCAGGTGTGTGCCTGAGCTCGGCGTGAGCGTGGCGGTAGGAGAGGTGGTCGGCTTTGATCACATCCTCTCAGCGTCGCGTATGAACAAGGCGATCGTAGCGTTTTTCAGCACAGAACAGCTTGTTAGTCAGCTGACCGAGAACAGAGTATGGGTTAGAGGAAGTCATGTGACCGTGACTCCTTTAGCGACTCCGGCTACGAAAATCACCGTTTCAAACATACCACCGTCTATTCCACACGACTCCAATCTTAAGGAACTCGCTCAATGCGCGAAAAACCGCGAGTCCCATCAGGATGATTCCACTAGGGTGTAGAAATCCAGCATTAAAACACGTCTTCTCATTTAGACAGCAGGTGTTCATGTTCCTGACTTCACCTGAGCGCGTGCTGGAGATCTGTTTCCGCGTCAGTCACGGAGAGAGCTCCTACATGCTGTATGCAAGTACGAATAACTTTAAGTGTTTTGAATGTGGAGATTTAGGACATGAAAGGTCCCTCTGTCCACATACAACGGTGGACAATGATCAACAGTTACCTGATGGTGCAGCGGACAACGGATCATCGAACAATAACAGAAACCGTGATACTGCAGAGGTCCCAGCATCACAGCACACGAAAGTGATGAAGAGACCTGCAGAGACCAGCAGAAAGGCCCTCAGAGGAGGCGAAGGGGTGCGAGGAGGTGAGGGACAGCGATGCTAATGTGGAGAGTAGTGAGCAGGCTGGATGCAGCTCTGCTGGTGTTCCTGGTAAAGTTCAGAAGGTGGATAATACTGGGACAGAGGTTCAGGTAAATGCACAGGCAGTGGAGGAGGATTGAGGAGATGAGCTGGATGGACTGTCTCAGTGGACTGATGACAGTATGAGGGATAATGAACAGTGGTCAGAAGGGTCAGAGGGGTTCGAAGTGACCAACTTTTATACTGTGGAGCAAATGAATATGTTTCTGGATAATACAAAGGGCAGAAGTGTTGAGGTGAGTGAGTTCTTTTCAGACCCGGATACAGGCGAGGAACAACAGCAGCCTTCAAGAGACTAAAAAACGATATCGATTAAAGAAGCACGTGACTACAATTCTTCAGAGCCAGAGACTAGAACGAGAAACCAAAAGAGGGGAGAACCTGAACGAGCACCATGACTAACACACTGTCCTTCTTCCTGACTGTTTTCTTTCTAACTTCTCTTCTCCTTATGGGAACCTTACGGGTGGGTTCCCTCAGAGTTAATGGGATGAGGGACAGGAAGAAGTCTCACATAATTCTGGAATGTTTCAGGGTAAAATGTCTGGATGTGATCTTTTTGCAAGAAACCCACAGTGATGTTCAGAGTGAGGTTGACTGGCGACGGTGGTGGGGGAGCGAGTGTGTTCTCAGTCATGGGACTAACCTGAGTGCAGGAGTTGCAGTCCTTTTCTCCTCGTCTTCTAAAGTAAAACTTCTGTCTAAAAAAGAAATTGAACCAGGGAGACTACTCACAGTTAGAGCTGAGGCTAATGGGTTTCCCTTTGTTTTTGTCCATATCTATGCACCTAACAACAACATAATGGAGATTTTATGATTTTGGGGCGTGATTGGAATTGTACACAGGATTCGTCTCTTGATAGAAATGAAGAGGAACCACATATACAATCATCTGCAGTTTTAATTAATGTCACTAAAACCTTTAAACTAACAGACAACAGACATGTGGAGAGAAAAAAATCCTTCAGTAAAACAATATACCTGGGTAAAGGTGAACGAGGACTTCAGCAGCACGGCTGGATGGAATGTATTTCTCAGATAATAGCTCAGGTCCTTTTGAGGAAAGCGGGAAGGATGGGGCTTGATCGACATCTTTTAACATATATAACCAGGATGGCCGAGTGGACTTAAGATCCAATGGACACATGTCCTCGTGGGTTCAAACCCCACTCCTGGTAAGACTGTCAGAAGACTGTGGCTCAGAAGAGGGATTCTATCTTTATGGGGTGGCTGTGGCACAGTTGGCAGAGCAGGTTCTTAATTTAGAATTTATAATTATCCACTAGCATTTATAATTAGCAGCTAGCATTTATACTTATCCACTAGCATTTATACTTATCCACTAGCATTTATAATTAGCAGCTAGCATTTATAATTATCCACTAGCATTTATAATTATCCACTAGCATTTATACTTATCCACTAGCATTTATAATTAGCAGCTAGCATTTATAATTATCCACTAGCATTTATAATTAGCAGCTAGCATTTATAATTATCCACTAGCATTTATAATTAGCAGCTAGCATTTATACTTATCCACTAGCATTTATACTTATCCACTAGCATTTATAATTATCCACTAGCATTTATAATTAGCAGCTAGCATTTATAATTAGCAGCTAGCATTTATACTTATCCACTAGCATTTATAATTAGCAGCTAGCATTTATAATTAGCAGCTAGCATTTATACTTATCCACTAGCATTTATAATTAGCAGCTAGCATTTATAATTAGCAGCTAGCATTTATACTTATCCACTAGCATTTATAATTAGCAGCTAGCATTTATAATTAGCAGCTAGCATTTATACTTATCCACTAGCATTTATAATTATCCACTAGCATTAATAATTAGCAGCTAGCATTTATACTTATCCACTAGCATTTATAATTAGCAGCTAGCATTTATAATTAGCAGCTAGCATTTATACTTATCCACTAGCATTTATAATTATCCACTAGCATTTATAATTAGCAGCTAGCATTTATACTTATCCACTAGCATTTATAATTAGCAGCTAGCATTTATAATTAGCAGCTAGCATTTATACTTATCCACTAGCATTTATAATTATCCACTAGCATTAATAATTAGCAGCTAGCATTAGAACTAAATGCTAAAAATTAATTTGAGAACTACAAGGGGAGAAATTATTGTATGAAACTGAAAATATCTAAAACAAAATTAGTTTTATTTATGAATTTATTTGTGTTTGTTTGTTTGTTTGTTTGTTTGTTTATTCATTTTTACAGTTTTTCTCAACTGCTTCACCGCCATACTTCTCTTATCCCATAGAACACTCCAAGTCTTCGGACTTTACTGGATGGTCTACAGGAAGCTCTTTTACAACACGCTCAGAGAGAAGTGCAGCCTTGTTATGAAGTTGTTCGGGACAACGTACGTTTCCAGCATGCTGTTCTGGTCCGGAACTGGTTCATGAACCATCCAAGATTCACAAATGTGTTCCTCCCACCATACTCCCCCTTCCTCAGTCCGATAGAGGAGTTCTCCTCAACATGGCGGTGGAAGGTCTATAACAGAAATCTCTATGTACAGAACAACCTTCTCCAAGCCATGGAGGAAAGCTTGTACAGTACATTACTGTGATCACGACAGTGACAAGCATGATTGTTCAACAAGCTAGAACTGTACTGTAGAATGTTGGATTGGAAAATAAACATCCTGTACGAAGGACAGTTGTAGTATTTGTGTGATTGTATGATTCACACGAGACTCTTGGAGTGGAACATATCTGAAGTTCAGGGACACGTTATAGTTATTGCTTCATGAAAACCTTTCTATAATAGTTTGTTCAGTTCCTCCCAGCGGGGTGCGTACAGGGTACTCACAAGGTTGAATGTATTCGTTGGTTCTGTGTGGAATTTTAATGCAAAGTTCGGGTTCTACGACAGATCATATGGGTTTGACAACGATGATTACTTTTGGATCAAAAGTCAAGGCTTTGTGTTCAGGGTTTTGAGAAAACGTGTGTTAGCAATTTAACAATCGAGAAAAACGGTAATAAATAAATGGATTTGGTGTGTAAACTCTTAACCCTCAGCCTTTAACATCTGATATAGTGTGTGTGTGCGTGTGTGTGTGTGTGTGTGTGTGTGTGTGTGTGTGTGTATCATTTGTACCGCTCTTAGGCAAGCAGTTTAAACACACACACACACACACACAGTAAGATAGACAATTGACTCACACTCAGTGTGACCTTTACTGCAGCACTATGTCCATCACACAAAGGGAAGGAGATAATTTATGAGTGTGAGTGTGAGTAGTGTACCAGGGGAAGTGTGCTTTGTGTAATGCGCTGGTTCCGGACCGTCGCTCGTGTAAAGGCACCTGTCTGCTCCGGATTCTTTCTGGACATTTAGCTGGATTAATGGGATCTCTGTGCGGTGTCCACGTCAGGCAGACGTGTCCTAATGTAAATATTTGGACCTGTAGTCTCAATGCCCTCAGGGGGGAAAACCACGAGCACTTTAACTGATAAACTGTGCCTCTGGGGGACTCTGGGGTACTCACGCTGTAAATGGTAAATGGCGCACGTATATAGCGCTTTTATCCAACACACACACACACACACACACACACACACACACGGTAGCAACCTGGGGTTCACTGTCTTGCCCATGGCATGTGGAGTCACCCGGGTCGGGAATCGGCTGCGAACCGCCAACCCTACGATTAGTGGTGGGGGTGGGGGGGGGGGGGGGGGGGGGGGGGTGTGCTGGTGGTGGGGGGGGGGGGGGGGGGGGGGGGGGGGGGGGGCCGCGGGGGGCGGGGGGGGGGGAGGGGCCGCGCCCCCCCCCGCCCCCCGCCGAGGGTGGCGGGTGGGGCGGCGCGGTTGCGGGGGGTGTGGTGTGGGGGGGGGTGTGTGGGGGGGGGGGGCGGTGGACACCCCACTCTACCACCTGCGCCACACGCTGTGGTTCTGGGTCACAGTAAGAGGTCTGGTGTTGCACTATACATCACCATAAACACCGAGGGCAAGAGGACAGAGAGACCGCGTATAAAAAACAACCAAACCAGGACAGCAGGAAGGTCTGTGTTCATTTGTTTTCTAAATAAAATGATATTCAGATGAAATCTTCCAAACAGATTTGGGCTTTAAATCAATAAATATTACAAATATTCTTGTTTTCCATCATTTCAGATGGAGTTTTCTTCATGATTCATGCTTCAATGATCATCATTTCACAATCACCCAAAATGTGTTTCTGCACACAGCGAGTCCATAGGAGTAAAACTACAGAGTGTGTAGAATCTCTGAGCGCGAGACGAGCACATCGACTCTGTTCACACTGAACATTCCTCAAACCATTCATGGAAACTGGATTTGTAGTGTGTGTGTGTGTGTATGTATGTGTGTGTGTGTGTGTGAACCCAGCTGAAGCAGGGTCCATGACCATACAGGAGTCCGGCGAGACAACACACACACACACACACACACACACACACACACACACACACATACACACACACACACCTCACACACACACACACTCACACACACACACACATCCTCAGGCGAATTCAGGCCAAAGCATCATTACACTCATTTAAAGGCGAGCGATTGGGGATCATCTTCACACCTTCACACACTCTGGATAATTAACTACAATTCTGAAAGCTCCTGCTCGGTCGTGTGGTTCTGGGCGTGTTCCTTCTTTCTCTTGATTAAAACATTCAACCCCGCCCACACTGTCACATCCAATCACCTCGCCCTGAGTGAAGAGCCAATTATCTCTAAAAAATGGACCTAGAGGGGAGACTCACAGGGACGAGATCGAACGTGACACCGGCTTTAAAAAGGCCAACAGACACGCTGCATTATTAATCCACAAAATATCATCCTTAATTAGCGCAGGACTGCGGCCCGGTTCGAACAGAACTACTCCTATTATTCATCTTTATATATTTATTAACAGAACCGGAGATCCAGAGACAATAAATACGATTATTTATAAATCTTTAGAAGAGGAAGTCTGTATCTGCAGGGCTCAATAACCACGGGGAAGTAAACAAAATAAACATGGCACAAGTGTGTGCTTTTAGAATTATTATCCAGATATAAAAATAATATTCAGAGAACCTTCAGAGAACCTTCAGAGAACCTTCACGGAGACTTCGTTATTCATTCCTTGCTCTGTTGATTCTTTACAAACACAACAAGGATTGTTTAAATTTTCTCAAGGAATTCTGCACACACAAAACACACACACACACAACACACACACTCACACACACACACACACACACACACACACACACACACACACACACACACACACACACACACACAATCCCACACAAAAACTACATCTCCCTCTTTTTTTTTCTCCGTTATTGTGATATTCATGTTTGTATTTTTTATTTCATTAAGCCAGTGTGTGTTTGTGCATGTTGTGTGTGTGTGTGTGTGTGTGTGTGTGTGTTTGTGCATGTGTGTGTGTGCGTATGTGTGTGTGTGTGTGTAGCATGCTGCACTCGGTTCTATTATGTGTGTGTACAATAGATAATAAGCTTTATTCTTATAGATCAGTCAGACAATGTGCTCTTCTTTTGTCAAAACCTCTCTGCATCACACAAACACACAAACACACACACATACACACACACACACACACACACACACACACACATACACACACACACACTCACGCACGCACGCACACATACAAGCAAAGGTTCACTAACAATGCAACAGAACAGAGATACCTCGAAGCTGTAAGTGTGGCCCAACATGAACATGAACAATGAGACAAACAGAAACAGAGATGGAGACAGAGAACATGGAGAAGATGGAGAAGATGGAGAAGATGGAGAAGAGTGAAACGTACACAGGGACAGAGATGGAGACTGAGAAAAATAATACTTTGATGTGTGTTTGCACTGAAACATCAAATAACATGCTGTAACCTTTATTGTGGCTCATTTAGATGTTAATGTGGAGCAGGAACCGGTTCTAGAGCCCATTCATCTGAGGTCAAGAGGCCGATCACATGTGCTCTACCTGTGTGTGAGAGACTGTGTGTGTGTGTGTGTGTGTGAGAGAGGTAAGGTGTGAGTGTGTGTGTGTGTGTGTGTGTGTGAGAGAGTGTGTGAGTGTGTGTGTGTGTGTGTGTGAGAGAAAAAGGTGTGTGTGTGTGTGTGTGTGTGTGTGT